GGACTTGGGCGGTGAAAGTGCTGATTGAGGTCTACCCCGCCTATCAATCATTCAATCAACCATTCACAACTGACCAATAGGGTTTCCCTGCCTTGGCTTGTTGCTTGGAGTGAAGTGGAGTGCTGGCACGTTGCTCATTTTAATCTCCTTAAGTATTTGCCCCCACAGTAGCGTCAATGAGTCAGTTTGTCAAAGTGATCGATTCCGGTGTTGCAGGTTTCCTGAGCGACCTGGACTTTCTGCTGGAGCAGGAAACAATACACTGGATGAGAAACTGGATTCCACAATTCATCAGCCACTTCATGATAGCAGATTGAAAAGAGAGCGCTTGGACTCCTGCCATTACAATCTGCTACTGTAGAAATGACAAATGTAGTTGGGTTTTTTTGATAGCCGCCCGAAGCCCATTTCTAAATTTTTTTGCTTACTCTGGTCAGCCAAGACTCAACAGGCTGTGTTTGAAGCCAATAGGCCAAAATCTTTTTGCAGGTGATTAGAGTCTTTGACCAGTCAGAGCGAGGCTACACATTAAATGAGGTGTTACATTCAAAGCCCTTTCATTACTCCTGCACAGTTGCGTGATCTTTATACAATTTCCACTTGCCCCAGAGGTATCACTTACTTTGCTAGTTTTATGTAATCATATGTCAAGATTACTGTTCAAAGAATTAAAAAAAGGAACATCTATTTAACAGAAGCAATGTCCCAGTTATGATAAAGAGAATATAAGGAGCAAAGATCTACTTACTTGCTCTGAAAGTTTCATGCTGCATCTTTAAATTAGTGTGTTTATATTAACAGTCGATCTGACGGTGTTCCACAGAGAGTAATTTCAGTAGATCCCCTCAGCTCTACACAGTATATGAACTGTTTTGGTTTTATGGCCCGCTGCTTTGGGTCACTCTTGTCACTCTTATCAACATAGTGGAGCTTTTAGCCAGATAGAGAGCCAGATATTTCCCTCTGGAGTATGTGGAGCTCACAACTGAACAAGAGAGAGAGGGTGAATATTTAACTTACATCCGTCAGGTGGCCAGCAACACCACTCTAAATGAATGTATCTGCTGGGTGTGTAAATAAGCAACTGTTTGCTAACAAGTTTGCTATATCGACTCTAAAAGGTGATAATATGTCAGTGCTGTTTACAGCCGGTCTCTGCCGCCGCCCAAGTGGCCACTTTTTCAAGTGAAAGCTTTGAAGCAAGTAAATTGACCTTTGTGCTTAGATTCTCTTCACAGTATCATGTTCCCAAAGGACAACAATGAATATCCATTCTCAAATGTCCTAGTCACTTGCCATAATGCTCAGATCTCTCTGTCAAACTGCAACAGACTGAGAATGAAAAATGGCCCTGGACTTTTGGCTCGCACCAACCCCCCTGCCAAAACTATCTGCATGACCGGTTTTGTGATTTATGTGTTTTTAAAGTACAAATCTGCAACAGTTTACAAATCTTACACACAAAACTAAAGATGGCAGAGCACCTATAGGCCCATTTACATATTGTCACCTTATCATTTTGTCACTTTACCAATGTGAAAATATGTATATATAATATTTAGTGAAGTTTCATTTAGACAGCACTGGTGTTGCCAACCGACAGGTATGATCTAACAAACATCTCTCAATAGCACTTAGTAACTCAGAGCAGGGAGAGCTCACAGTTATTTTATGCCTATGCTGGTACAAAGCCAAAAAACTGACTAAGTTTGGCACTTAGCTGGGTTGCCCCTGAGGAGCGCTCACTTGCCTTTTGCATCCTTTAAATGAATTCAGTATTGTTACATTTAAGTGCCTCAGTTCTCTCTTTAACTCTGTAATTTCTTGTTGGAGAGTTTTATTCTTTCTCTTCTTTCCCATTTTTTCTACTAATTTGTTTTGTTGTCTACTTGTTAGTTGCTCCTGGTGCAACCTTGTTATAAGTTGTTAATGTTAAAAACACAATCACTTGACATCTTTCAAAAAGGGAAACAAGGTCATGCCCGTTTTTTGGTCCTGGACTAACAAAGAGTGTGACCAAAAGAGAGGGAAAAAAAAGTCTAAAATGAAAACTAATAGCATTATTTGTGAAATGTGAAAGAAGCTTAGAGGAGAATTGTTTTTTTCTCTGTCTTTTGTAGCTGCAGCAGCAGCAGCAGCAGAAGCAGCACGTTGTCTCTTTCCTCTATGCTGAGAAAGATACAGCACAGTATACATGCAGTGCTGAAGTTATTTGGCAGGCTTTATTCATCTCTATAAAGTCTGGCCTTAGAGGGAGACACTTGGCACTGGAACAGAGAGTGGACCTTTTCCCAGTGGCTCAGGGTGGGACACACTGCTTGGAGGCAGTTATCTGACCGACTTTGTTGTTATTGTTGCTGGGATGGATTTAATACCCCATTTTTCACTTTGTGTTTCTCAAACGCCCTCTCTCTTAAATGTGCCTTTTTAACAGTTACATATTTGCTACTGTTGGTGTTAATGTTTTGTCCCCACTGCTGTTGATGATATTGATCCAGGGGAGGTTCAAGTCAAATAAAATGTGATGCTGAATCTAGAGAACTGAACAGAAAATATTTAAGCTGCATAATGGTGTTGACTACCATTTGCCTTTTTATAGTTCTTGGCTTGTTATTCAGTTGCTTTAACTACCCACTGGAGTGGCTTCAAGTGCTGTCCTACAATGATGAACATAGTGGCAGACAGATCCAAGGAATGTAAGAACCAAAAATGAGCTGTGGGACCCTGCTGGCCCCTTGTTTGTGGTTAAACAAATTTTTTTGAAGTCTGGACTATGTACATTTTGCGACAGGCAGGGATGTAGTTATCAGATTGTGTACGTAATACTGTTGGATTTTGGCATTATAACAAGGACTTCACATTCTACAATTTCACAGATATTACACATGTTGTGTATATAAATTGATTGGGTTGATGCAGAAAGTAAATAGATTGTGTGAAAAATGAAGGGAAATTCTCTATCGGCATTACATACCTGGCATGGTGTCACATGTTTAAGCTAAACCTAAATGCAGACACTAGACAAGCAGGTGAGGTGAAAACAAGTCTTTTATTGTCATACAGGCAGGGTAAGAGGGATGGTGTCTGGCTGGAGTTTGGGGCTGAATTGAGGGGGAAGGAATCCGAGTGGAGGGAATTCCAGGGATGAGAGCTGGTTGACAGGCTTGAGATGGAGAGATGGGCAGACAGGCAGGTAATCCTGACCAGGGGAAACAGGTGGAAGACACACTGGCAGGCAGGCAAACAAACAAACAAACAAAATGAACTAGTTTGTGAGCAGGAAGCACAACATATGAACGAACGGTGACCTATAATCCAGCAGGGACTGTAAATTGAGTTCTTGAAGGCAGTGGTGATTGCTTGATGGCAGGTTGGTGTGAAGAGAGAGCAGAGCCAGGAGCCAGAGTGAGGAAGGAGACCATGCCCACACACCAACACACAGACACACAGATGCAGACAGACAATATAAGGCACGACCATGGCCATGACACACCAAGACAAAATGTAGGGAGATAAAATTGACAGAAAATACGGCTTAACGGTTGAATGAATACATAAAGTGTGCTTATGATCTTGATCAATTGATTGAGTGCTTTGGCTTATTCCCAAACAATTCATCAAATGACAAAACCAAAAGTGGCCCCTGACGGTTGGCTAATTTGCCTGGTCAGTAATCCAGCCTTGGTGGCAGATAATCATAAAACATACAAATGCCATTTTTCCCAAACTAAGAACGCAGTACTTTAGAGATTTAAAATATCATAAGGTTAAAAACTGGTTTTAAAAAAATAAATAATAATCTGGATCCAAACCTATGATATTTGACATACTGCATATAATATGCAATATTGTTCACTAACACGTGGTAACACGTATCACGGTCAAATGTACTTTTGACAGTTTGAACTGATATTTTAATATATTGGCATAGCTTTCATCCAATGTGTTATTTGGATTTCTCTTTGAACTCACATTTCCTGTATTAACTCCTCTTTTACAATACACAGAAAGCCTATAGGAGCCTGTCCAGATGTAATTCAACAAATAAATGTTTTCCAGAGCACTAATATGCACTACCAGGAAGACATCATTCCCTGTAATAGTGAGTATCCAGCAGGTGTGTAACACCATGGAGTGTTTTTGGACACGTGATGCGCCGGTGCAGTCGATTCTGACGCCTCGGCGCGTTCACGTCGCTCCTCATGCCCTTCTTTAAGTGAGAAAGTGTCGTGTGAACGCGCCCACACACTGTACCTCCCTCCCTCTCTTCCTTCACCCTCCACTTCTCAGCCAGAGAGCGCGTGCCCGCGTCTGTAGTTGCGTACTCTTGCACTTCAGATAGCTGTTTGTAAATTCAGTCATTTGATCATGGGAACCATTTTTGGTCAAATGCAGACATAACTATAGATAGATATAGATATAGATATAGATATATTGATGGATAGTGATGCTTATTTCCACATTTCAAATAAACATTAAAGACAAACAGGCTGAAGATGCACATAATGTATTGTTATTTCTTTGTAAACATCTGTTTGTTTCCTGGTAGATTGGTCATTTTGTTTAACTGTATTGCTACATTCAGGGATGAGGAGCCTAAAATCCGTTTACCTATTTTATATGATCTCATAAACATGAATGTGGTGAATTCATATGAGTCAATAAAAACAAACTGATACGAGTTATGAACAGGGGGAAGGTAATGTTCGGGGATAAAACCACCTGAATACCTCTCTGAGACAGATAATTGAATTTTTTTTCTATTTGTGTCTGTTTTCCTTATGATGGCCGCCAACTGGAGGTCAGAGTGTACCCTTCTTTTCATTTATCTCCGCATTGCTCGTTGTATCCAAATATCTGCTGCCGCGACCCCATTTGCCCCACGGGGCTCTTTTAACTTTGATCTAATCTAATCTAATCTCGCTTTCTCTCGCCTCTCACGCTTTTTTATTTCCTCTCACCGTCGCCGTGGCCGCGCAGCTCGGCGCGCTCCCGTCATCGCGTCGGGAGGCAGCCCGCTGGTCCTGAAGCTGACGAGGAGGATGATGATGATGATGGCGGTGATGGAGGAGCAACGCTGAGTTCGCTCTCCCAGTTTTCTCTCCCCTTTTTTCCATTCATTCTTTTGATTATTAAAAGACAACACAACATAGTGATACAAAAGCGACACGCCGATTTGACCTGATACCTCTCTCCACCTCCCTCCCGTCTCCTGAGCCGAGACCGAGATGGGGAACGAAGCGAGCATGGAGGGCGGCGGGCAGCCCGGTGAGCCGGGAACCACCGGGATGATGGGGTCGGTGATGCCCGGCGGACCCGCAACGGGACCGGGAGCAGGACAGCACATGAAGCCGGTCAACGGAACCGCTGCCGGGGGAGGAATGGGAGTCGGAGGGCCCGGGATGGGAATGACGAGGTAGGAGCAGCAGCGGTAGAGGTGTTTCGGGTGAATGGGCTGGGTGAACTGGGTACATCCCAGTGTGTGTGTGTTTTAACACGGAAACGGTTGGTGGATAACACGACAACAGATGTAGTTTGGTTCAGATTACACAGGGATGGGATTAACCGGGTGTTACAAAGTGCTCCCCTCTGTAAGGAGGACATATGATGGGGTGTTGTAAGCAGGAGAGGAGTGACATCCTCCCGCGGCAGTCTCCGGACGCTGGGATGAGAAACCCGGGAGCTGTCCGCGGTGCTGAAGCGCTACACGCTGCAGCGCGGAGCCCCGGTGGCTCATTTGAACATGTTTCCCAAAATAGGTTTGACATTGCATATTAAGGTGGCTTACAACCACCACAGTGCCCGTGTGATCCGTGCTACGGCTGTCATCGGTTGTGTGATATTTTTTTTTACTCCGCTGGTGTCATGTGCTGTAATAGTATTTCCTCCTTCCTTCAGCTCGGGCTGTGCTTTGTCGTAGTGTGTTGCGTTAGACACGTACTCAAAAAAAACAAATGAAAAAAATACACAACTGAGCGCTCGTTTCTATCTCGGAGGTGATTTCCAGCTGAGATGTTTGAGGGTGTCGTTTATGAAACGTGACCAGGGGACGTTTTTGTGGTTTGTGATGCAGGTGGATGCTTGAAGCGTCTTAATACTCTCGCTTGTTTCCGCATGGGCGAGGGGGGGGGGGTTGCTCAATGTGTGTGTGTGTGTGTGTGTGTGTGCGTGCGTGCGTGTGTGTGCGTGCGTGTGTGCGCGTGTGTGTGTGTTCGTACGTGAAGGGGCTTGCCTGGCTCTGTAGGCGTGTGTTTGATGATGTGTGTGTGTGTAGTACTGGTACTATCAGCAACGCCAACGTTTCCCGTTAATGACGTAGAAGCGACAGACATACGGTGCTTACCGACATACCATATATACCATATTATATACTATACTATATACCATATAACATACTATATAACATACCATATACCATATATACCACACCATACACCATATACCATACTATATATAATACCATATATCATATACCATATACCATATACCATACCAGTCCAGCCCACACCACACTGTAAATCTCAGCCAAATCAAAGCCAACTACTGTGCCTTATGGCAGAGGTATTCAGACAGAATTACCTCCTAAGCCTACTATTTCTTTTTTAAAGCTACCTCAGTGTGTATGATGAATTGAAAACAGCAAAATCCAATTTCTGATCTCATCTCACAATACTGATATTACCAATGTACAGCGTCTCCCAGTGCAACATCTACTGCATGCAAAAACAGGCTATAAAATAACCATACTATGCCATGACATAAACAGCACTATGACATACACCATATGCCATATACATCTTGCTATTCCATGCACACACACAACCAGATCTCATAGGAAAATGTAATTTTTAACATCTGTATATATGAAAAATCATCCACCAATTTGAGCACGTTTTATTTTTCTAATCAAAATATGTGCAACCCTGTTCTCACTGTAATATGACTGTCAGCATTTTTCAAGGACAATCATATGAAATATCATTTTTTTGTACCCTGGTTAGAGGTTCTTTCACCATACCATCTGATGACATAACTCTGCATAAAAGCTATATTCCCTAATGTAACTTATCATGACCTGACATAACATCTGCACAATAGCTGTACAGTTTACACAAATCCTACCACATACAGCTTGCTCCCATGCAGCACCACACCTACAGCTCCACTCGCCTTTAGCTCGGCTCAGCTAATGCAGATGCTACACACTCTCTTGTCTTTCAGGAATCCCAATTTACTGTACCACCTCATGATCCATGAAACCCTCCTGCAGCCAGGCTGCTGTGCGGAGACCTAATCAGGTTGACTTGTAATGGAAATAATGCTGGAGTAGGGCTACAGCTGGCCTACACACTCCAGGGTCTGTGTGTGTGGGTTTTATTTAGGACACATCCCAGGTTTGATTCATGCCTTTGTAGGAGAGAAGAGCAGAGCAGCACAGGCCTATCCATCATTATATAACACAGGGACTCAGAAAGCAGATGACAGCTTCAGCTGCATTACTCTGTTTAGGGGAATTGCTGTGATGTAGTCTTCTGCTTTAGTTCACTTTTCAAATTCATTCGGAATAAAACAGTTTTATTTATTTTTTGGGGGGTGGGTTGGGGATTGCAGCATGCAGTGCATCAAACTGAGTATTAGAAACAGCGTAATACAAGGCCATGTGAACAGACTGAATCACGTGCAGAGCGTGTTTGCTCCTCCCCTCTCTTACTCTCACACACACCAGCCCTCCCTCTTCTGCACTGCTCTGCCTGACTGCCTGCTCCTATCACTCTCTCTCTCCCACTCCCTCGCTCCATCTCCTCTGCACACTCGCATGCTTTGCCGCCCTCTTTTGCTTCTCTCTCCCTCTTTTTTTCTCTGTCTCTACATCCTTTGCACACTACTTAATATAGGAGAAAGGACGTCGTTCTCGCTCTTCCCCTCTTCCTCTAAATTACCACACCACTCAGTTGTGATTTTGTCCTATTTATGCTGATAATGTAAAGCAGCATGGCAAAGGTATGCTTGTTTTTCTTTAACACATAAGACCGCCATAAACCTAATAGAAAGACCAAATCAACATTGCGTTAGTCTGTCTCTCAGTGCTTTCTGATTGTCCTTCCGTGTCTGTGGCACTCAGCCCCAAGCCTATTGATTCCTACTGAACATATGCCCTACAAATAAACTGTTTTGTTTAAAAAGGCTCAGTAAATTTCTAAAGCACCGGGGCACAGTAGTTGTTAGCAAATGTTGCTCAAACAGGAGTAAATAATTGGACTATTGTGCTCTTTAGTATATTTTAGGCACCAAGACATGTGGGATTGACTCAAAATGAGCTATGTTCATGGTAATGAAGGAACATTGATGCTTTTTAAGAGTACAGTGGCACAGAGGAATAAACTAGATGAGGTTTGGTTACACTGACAATACGTGTTTGTAGGCTCAATTCATTGCTGGCTTTGGTTCTGTAAAGGAATTTGTTGACAATAAGAAAAATGCAGAATATTGCCAGCAATAGGTTTTAACATGCAGTACATGTAAGCTATTTGTGGTCTTTACAATGATAAGTTATATGCAATGTAGAACAGTTCTGTTTATTTGCCTTCATGTCAGTGTCCACCTTCAAATAGAACCAAGTCCTCCAAATCAAATGAACCAATCCATAGTTTGTCCATGTATGACACACAGAAGCAATGATATTGTCTGTGCCTTCCAAAGCTATAACAAATCACTGTGAAAAATAAACAAGTTTCATGATGTGTGAACATTGGGCAAGGTTTTGGTTTGGGTTAGGCTAAGTTTTGGGCAAGGTTGTGGTTTCGGTTTAAATAAGTACTTACGTAGTTAAGTTTATGGAACAAAAACGTGGCACCCAGGTAGCTTGGTAACTTGGTAGAGTTCTTGCTGCAGCGGCCATGGGTTTGATTCCAACCTGTGGCCATTTTCTGCATGTCATCCCTTGTCCTCCCTTTCCTGTCACTCTTCAGCTGTAACTATCAATCAAAGGCAATAAAAATCAATAAAAATATTTTTTCAAAAAACCCCAAAAATCTGAACTGTACTTCTGTAAAACAAGAAACAAACAGCGGTCTCTCATGTTGAAGTCTGATGGTTTGCTCGACCTCCTCCTTACACAGACATTGTTGCTCTATAATAATGTCACCTGACTTCCTCCTTTGCTCACATCATAAGTGCTACTGCCACTAGAGGGCTTTGTCACTTTAACTCAAAGACATGCTGTTTTGGGGCACTTGCTGAAACAACTAAAGCCATCACACTTCTTGAGAGCACAGTTTCTGCAACTATACTGCACATTTGCTGTTCCTGTGAAAATCCCTCCCCCTCTATCTCTCTCTCCCCCCACCCCCTTTTAGACTAATAGCCAGCAGCCTATAAATGGCTCTGCCTTTACAATGAGATACAACCTTAGTGCTATAGGGTATGTGAGTACAGATAAGGAGAGAGAGAAAAGGAGAGATACTGAGAGTAAGGGAAAGTGGAAGATAGAGAGAGAGCTGAAGGAGGTGAAGTGAAGGAAGAACAGAGGCTGGTAGAAATAGATCAAGTGTAGCCTGCTGTACAATAGGACAAACCCTAATGGGCTACAGGAAGGGGGAAGGGAGTGAAGGGGGGAGTGATAAATCAAAAGGTGTACATCCAAGAACAACCAGCAATATAAACAAAAGCACATTATATTGTCAGGAAAACTACAGTCTTGATCCTACTTAAGATTACCATCAGACTAAATTGGATGGTTCATCAGTGATTTCGAATTTCTGTCCCTCCATATAAACAATTGATGCAACGTGTTTAGGCACACTAGTTCCAGTGCAACCCCATCCCCGGTGCAGCCCTGTATCCCTAGGAATTACATTTGTATAGGATGATTCCACACCTCACGATTTATGTGCCATTTTCAGTTTAAAGCAGTGTTTTTGTAGCAAGGCAAAAAAATCAGGCTGTGTTCAGAACAGCTTTAGCCCTGCATGAAAAAACACAGTGTCATCATTTATGTGAATGAGGCCAGTCCGCCCCTGTGTTGCTTTAATGCAGATTTCTGTCTGAACGCCCTCTAAGGGTGTGCAGTTTGGGGTGGCAACTGACTTGTGGTAGAGTTTCCTTCCTAACACAGACTTGGGTTTTTTTTATTAATAGTAACTGATTTCCATTAACCTGTCCCACATCTTTTAGTTGGCTGATCATACCCTAACCATGGTTTATTTGCCTTAATCACAATCTTTCCCTAAACTTAACCATAGAACACTGTGCAGATATTGTAGAAAACAAGGATTTAAAAAAATATTGGCAGTGGTCATAAAAAACTGTCCTCCAACCTAAATGACAAAACAGGTTGTTTGTCATTCTCTTCTGAAAGGATCAAACTACTCGGTTAAAAGAGTTCTCCACAGAAACATTGTCAAACTCACAATAGAC